ACACAGCAGGCCAAGCAGCATCAGAGGAGCAGGAAAGCTGGCGTTTCGGGCCTAGACCCTTCTGCCCTAAATGTCAGCTTTCCTGCTCCTCTGATGCTGCTTGGCCTGCTGTGTTCATCCAGCTCTACACCTTGTTATCTCAGATTCTCCAGCATCTGCAGTTCCTACAATCTATGGAATTGACTTGATCTTTTTGCATATTTCAATAAATACTGGTGAGACTTTTGAGCAAAGGAGTTTCTTCTTGATTCTAAAACCGAGGAACTGAGAAGTCGAGGTTATCAATTTAACCCCATTCTCCACTTTGAGTAACTGCATGAAATGGCTGTCAGCTTCATCATTTCATTGCACTCTGATAATAAAGCATTCTTGATTTCAAAGCGATGTACTTTGTACTTTTATACAAGTTGCTATTATTTGCGAGTGAGACAGTTTTACTTGCATTTCAGTTTTTTTCATTCCCGTGTCCTTCACAGAATGCTCCCCTCTGTTGACATAGCCAAATATAGAATCACTATGTCAGTAATCAACGGGGCAATGTCTGTGGTCTGCTAAACTCTGACGTAATATTGTGTCCACTTACCTATTCTGTAGATTGGTGTGGCTGAATCTTTACGTAAATAGAGAACAAAACTTTGTGTTTTAAGAAAAAAGCAATACAATTTGAATGTTTAAATATGTATCTGAAGATAGTTGTATTTCAAGACAGTGCATTTACATAGAAAAATTGGTTCTGCCTGTCGCTTGTTGCTGGTAGATTCTGTCAAACAGGTGTTGTTACTGCAGTTTTTGATTCTTATAATCTGTTATCATAATTGCTGTTCTCCTGTGATTCTCAATGGGATGATGCTAAATATTTCATTTTTAAACTCTTTCATGCTTCGAATTTGATGACCTAGCAGAAACGGGACAAAGTCTTAATCACATTAGCCCACACAAGTCACCACAAAATTTCCACCAAAGGTATGCTATCTCTTCACATTTTGAGCTGTCATTTTATGTTAAAATGAACCGCCTTTGTAACATCAATTCAAATGTAATTAATATTTGTTAATTGTATGGAATATCAAACTTACTAATCTTTTTGTTGTCTAATGCAATGAAGCACCAAGTGTAGAGTGAGCATTTTCTTGAACTCATTTTCCCCAATAATCTTGTAATGGAGAATATAAAATGTAGAAACTTGAATGAAGTAGAACTAGGGAATCGGAATTTAAAAATAAGAGGTTGCCAATTTAAGATCAAGATGAGGAGATTCCTTTTTTTTTCCTCAGAGTTGGAAGTCTTTGGAATTTTCTTCTGCAAAGGCAGTTGATGCAGAATCTTTATATATTTTGGAGGCAGAGGCAGATATTGGAAATATACAGGAATGTAGGGTTAAAGTTAAAATCGGCTCAACCACAATCTTGTTGAGTAGCAGATCAGGCTTGAATGGCCTGTGCTCCAATTTCCTATGTTCCTGTAGTATCTTTCCTACCACTTGTATCAAGCGTGACAGTTCTGCAGCTCCTCTGTCTGTCTTGTCTCCCTTTTTAAAAAAAAAATCAGCTGTCATTCCTCATGGATGCTAACATTATACCCAATGAATTTCTGAAGAAGTCAAGAGAGGAGTATATTAGGCAGTTTAAAACAAAGTGCTGGAGAAACTAGATATGGCAGTATCTGTGCAGAGAGACTGTGTTTCTCTTATTTGTTTGCAGAGACATTCAATATAAAATTTGATGCATTGTCTTACTGTATCGGTCAGAGCTTTATCAGCTTCTGTTACTTTCACACCGTGCCCAGACCTGCTGAGTTTCTCCAGCACTTTTGCTTTCATTTCAGATTTCCAGCATCTGCAGTATATTGCTTTTATTCAATGGTATACAAGATAAAGTTGATATCTGTAGAAATCCCTAAGCACATAATCACAAAAGGTGATCGATGTTACCCCCCCAAAGTTTTAAAAGCAAAGAATAATCTAGAGAATGGCACTTGAAGGCTAGGTTTGCCCTGATAGAAGCTCAGTTTCGATCAAGATTAATTTGAACCATATCTTGCAATGCCTAGAGTGTAAGTGGTTTTAACTGTGTACAACAATGGGAATTAAAATTACATTAGAATCACAGTTTCACATGTATCTCCTCCATTAAATTCAGTCAAATCCTTCATTACTACCTTTTTAAGAATAGATGGCCAAAGTAAGAACACTCTATAATTTAGTTTCTCTTTTGATAATTGCAGTTTGATCAAAATAAACTCAATTTCTCATGATGAGGAAGCAACACCTTCTCAGCAGAAAAATGCTTCAAATCTGCAACATGCTAGAGAACCAGCAAAGCAAGCAGCTGGTGTGAAACTGACAGAAGCTGATAAAGCTCTGACTGGTAGGGTAAGGAAATTCATCAATCATTACATCTGATTCCTCAACATACAATGAGAGAAACGCTACCAATAAATCCAGATGCTGAGTTAGTCACTGCACAAATTAGGGGAGATGGTAATTTTTTTTATTCACTCATGGGATGTGGGTGTCACTGACTAGGCCATCATTTGTTGCCCATCCCTAATTGCTCAGAAGGCAGTGAAGAAACAACCACATTCCTGTGGGTCTGGAGTCACATGTAAGCCAGACCACGTAAGGATGGCAGTTTCTTTTCCTGAAGGACATCAGTGAACCAGGTGGGTTTTTCCAATACTTGATAATGAATTCATAGTCATCATTAGACTGTTAGTTCCAGATTTTTATTGAATTCAGATTCCACCATCTGGCATAGCAGAATTCGAACCTGGGTCCCCTGAAAGTCACCTGGGTCTCTCAATGAACAGTCCAGTGATAATACCACAAGGCCGTTGGCTCCCCATGTAATGTAATATTACTGGACTATTGTTATTGTTCGTGGATTCAAATTCCATCACAGCAGGTACATGGGAACTCCACCACTTGCACACCCTTCTGACCAGGAACTTTATTGCCATTCCTTCCACTGTCACTGGGTTAACATCTTGGAAATTCCTGTTTGTGTCCCTGCGTCCCAAAGATAGCAGCGCTTGAAGAGGGCAGCTGAACACCATCTTGTACAGGGCAATCAGGCTTTGGCAGTGAGTGCTGACCTAGGCAGCAACACCCAAGTCCTGTGAACAAATTGGAAGGGGGAGTATCCTTCAATCAGTATTCAACACGAAGATCACAATCCTCACTCATTCATGCACCCAAGAATGACGGCGCTTCAAGGTGGCAGCTTACCGCTATCTCCTCAAAGGCAATTAGGGGTGGATGACAAATGCTGGCTTATTCAGTGATGAAAATCGTTTTGTATCTTTTTTTTTTAAAGGATTGTTTAAGACCTCATCATCACCTTCTAGCCTTTTGTTGCAGGAGACTGTCTAACTCCTGAGCATCTAATTGATGCTCTCAATGATACTTGTTGATGGGTTTGCCAAATAGTACACTTTTAATGTTAGAGAAGAACCGAGCATCCCTGTGTCTCAGCAGTTACTGAGGATGAAAATCCATTTATTTTAATGTATACTTGAAAAGGCACTATTTGCTACTTAAAAATGTACTTGGTTTCATGATTCTTAACTAAATAAAGTTCATGTCCTGGAAACTAAATATTTTGCTAGCTTGGTTGGCATTTGTTTAATAGACTAGATTATGTATGTCTATATCACATTTTTACTATTTACCTTCAAAATTCATATAAATAGGTGTCTAGTTTATTTTAAATTGGCTGACTTGGATGGAAAAATTATTTGCAGTGATGCTGGTCTTTCTCCTGTAGAATCTCATTCAGAGCCATAAGATGAAAATCAACCCTGTTTGGTTTCTGAAATAGGTTTCAGTAATTTCCGTCCACTTCCTGGTGGGCAGAGGTACATATCATTAACTTGGAAATCTGTCACCAGTCAGAGGACGGTCAAATGGCTTTATTTTCAACTAAAACTGGGAGTAGTATAGGCAGTTTAGTCATCTGTTTATCATACAATCTCTATTAATATATTATCTTCTCCATACTTGAATCTTCCAAGGATGTAATCCTGTGTTTAGTTTTATCACACTTGATAAAGTTGAGGTACTGCATTTTCACCTCTCTCATCGGCAAAACTAAAAGCTAATAGAATTCCTCACATGAGTGAAATATTTTTCCATGTTGGGTGTGACCCTGAGGTTATTAAATAAGTATCCTTTGTTTTATGACTTTGCATTTTCTCACGACATAATTGTTCACTTACAATTTTTATCCTTTTCACTAAGTTTTTTTGTTTTTTTTTCCCCAAATATTTCAGGTAAAATTCTCAGTTTTCTGGGCATATATGAAGGCGATTGGGATCTGCATTTCTTTCTGCATTGTTCTTTTCTACCTATGCCAACATGTAGCGTCCTTGTCCTCTAATTACTGGTTGAGTTTATGGACGGACGATCCAGTTGTTAATGGGACCCAGCAACATACTTCACTCAGACTGGCAGTGTATGGCGCACTCGGACTTGCTCAAGGTTTGTTTAAAAAGTAAAATAGACTTTGATTTGCAATGTAATATAAAGCATGCCAAAAAAGTTACTAATTCTGAAAATATGTTGAGTTCAATTATATGTTTTAATCCAGGGCATTTTGACCATGATCGGATTATTGCATATACTTTAAGTACTTTAATTTCAAAACTTTTTGCTTTTTAAGGCTAGGATTCTATTAATAACACCTGCAATAATATCCTAACATGTAATGAAACCCACTAGGTTGTGTAAAATTGGAAGCAACACATTTTTACATTCTCCAAAATAGTAACGCAAACGGATAATTAATTTTAAAAAAATGTATTCATAGAATGTGTGTGTTGCTGGCTAGCCCATCACTTATTGCTCTTCCTTAATTGCCATGGAGAAGATGGTAGTGAGCTACATTCTTGAACTAGTGCATTTTTTGGTGTAGGAACTCCCTTGAAATCTCATTTATCTCCCCCTCCCACTGTTGACCACCAATGCCCTTTTTGGTTTCCTGTTCTTAATGGTACATCTGCAGATATTTGATTCCTCAACTGTATAGTCATTCTGTGCTCCATCCTTGATATTTTTTCTGGGAAAGAATTCCAGTGTTTCTCTTCTATAGTCCTTGTCTTTACTGTTTAAAATCTGTAAGAATGCAAACCTTTTGGCACACAACTTGCTTAACCATCCATTGCCAGATTTGGTTAAATGTGATATCAAATTCTACTGGACCCCATGCTCCTTTGTCTGCCAAACTGACTTCTATCCTAGGATCATTCCAGAGAGCAAGGGCAACCATTGGCTTTGTTTCTGTACTACCATCCATCGCCTCAAATGCCTTCATCTCTACTTTTTCAAGTTTTTAAAAGCAAGTATGAGGAGTTCATGGATTCGTTCATTACAGAGATAGGGACTTTATTTACGATAACGTGGTGTAGAGCTGGATGAACACAGCAGGCCAAGCAGCATCAGAGGAGCAGGAAAGCTGATGTTTCGGGTCTGGACCCTTCTTCAGAAAATCTTT